ACGGTATGAACATGCATAACATATTCGACTCGTTTACGACCTAACTACTTAGGGGTGGGGTGTATGAAACGTCTATCCAGAGAATCATTCGGAAGGCTGAAAAAAAAGGCTGAAGGGAGAAAAAGTGATGCGTACTTTTGAGATATGCCACTTGTCAACATCTAGAGCGAATAACCAATTTCAACCCCTTCTTCTTTTTTTGCCACTGTTTTCAGCACTGCTCTGCTTTCATGAAGCCTGCTTCTGCCTATGTACCACTACCTTATGCGTCTCCTATTTGTCAAGCTGCTGCTCAAGGTGCACCAACTCACCTCGGGGCTCAGCTATCGACGTTGTGGAGCGTGCTGTTTTCCCTTAAGCCCCTTTTCCTCCCATGGTGTACACCTTAACCAATAGCCGATTGAAAAAGGCAGCAAACAGGAAAGAAGGTTGAATGGGATGGACTTTTTTCTCCTTCTTTTTCTTTTTCTTCTTGTTTTTTACAAAGGTTCCTTTAACGCATTGATAATGTTACAACGGCTTTTTTCTTCCCATGTTTACTATCACCGCCTTAAGGCTGTAGGTTTGATGTCATAGTGCAGATTTTATCCCCAACTCCGAGCGCCACAGTTAGCCATCTGTAATGTGGCGCAGTTTTGCGGCGGCTGCCGACGAGGAACAGCACTGGAAACACGTATCCTGATATAAGCAAGGATCAAACCCAACAGACCGCAACTCCGAGGTCTGTTCCTCTACTTCTCTTCGCAAGGCTGACTGGACCACAGAGTCAGTCGCGTTGGTTCTTCTTCTTGCTCTGTCTTTCTTCGTCTTTCTTCGTCTTCGTCTTGTCCATCTTGTACCTATGTTTTGTCATCTGCTGAGTAATACGTTACATAAGGGTCACATGCTCATGCCAAGTGTTATAAAAGCTTAACGCGATGACTTGCTTACATAAGATGAAAGCTTCAACGCGACTTTTTCAACTTCGCTCAAAGGCAACAATAGAGTCGACAGCGAAGGCAGCGACAGGGAAGGGAATGCTGAATCAAGGACGCTGCTCTTCTTTGTATTGATCAAAGGCCATGCTACTGTGTTGCTTCTTTTAGTTCTTTTACCTCCTCTCCCCTTCTGAACGCTCGACGCCAGCCTCCTCCGTCCTTCAAACTGCCTCTACTCCGGACCAACCTTCCAAGTTACTACAACCTTCACAAGTCGACAGAACAGAGCTCACTCCATTGATATCGTGCAATATTCTACATTTTCTTTTTTTGATACACGATCGTACACATCAGTCGTCACCATGGCTGTCGAATACGGCAAGAAGACTAATGCAGAGCTGATTGAGATCCTCAAGTCGCGCGGCCTCAGTCACACGGGAAAGAAGGCAGATATGGTTGCGCGGCTTCAGGAAGCAGATAAAGCCGCTGCTGCTGCTTCGGTGCCCGCTCCAGCTGAAGACGTTATCGATTGGGACGACGATGCCGCAGAGACCGCTCCAGCAGCACCCGCAGCTCCCAAACCAGCTCCAGCGGCTCCAGCAGCTGTTCCAGAGCAAAAGCCAGCTACCCAGCCAGCTACCGCGCAAAAGGCGAATGCTGCAAAACCAGAGGAGAAGACTGAAACTGCGACTGCAGCAGCGACTGCCACTGGCGCCTCAGAAGCAAAGCCTACTGACGAACAACAAAAGACAAACGGCACAGATGAGAAGGCTGCTACCGAAGAGAAGAAGACCGCAGAGAAACCTGCCGTCGACTATAGCAGAGGTCTTGCAACCACAGACGTTGATTCTGAGCTTGCGAAACGTAAAGCCCGTGCTGCGAAGTTTGGAGCTGTCGACGAACCTGCTGTCGCGACGGAGGCTGAAAAAGCACTTGCCAGAGCCAAGAGGTTCGGCACCGCGAGCGATGAACCGGCCAAAATAAAAGGGTTGGACGAAGCTTTGCCCACCCGGAAGCGAGGACGAGGTGATGATGGAGACAGCGGCCGGGGAAAGCGTAGGAACTTCCACGGACGGGGAAGAGGAAGAGGCGGCCCACGCAGGAGTGGTCGCAGCGAGGCCAACAACAATAACAGCAGCAGCAAAGCCAAGGTCAGTGAGGCAGACCGTATTGCCATGGAGAAGAGAAAGGAGCGTTTTGCTGCGAAATAAACAGGAAATTCTTTGGCTCTTTGATCTCCTTTTTCATCTATCTCGGCTTCTCGCCCATCGACCGTCATTCGTTTGCTTCGTGCACTATGAGTTATCGCTCATCACTGCGCCCGGGGCTATTTTTCTACCTCTCTCCTACGTCAAAAACCATCCTCTTCTTACTATATGACTGGTATCGCTTTTATTATTTTCTCTTCGTGTGTGTCTTTCCATATTTACCTGGCTTAGGAGTTTGTTGGAACGAAGTCTGATCTTTCATATTTTCCTCCTTTTATTGTCTATTGCTCTCTTGCGTCTGGTATTAACACATGTATATCAAAACGAAAATATCAAATCAACTTTTTTCATCTCTCCGAGGTCGGACAAGTGATGTGCATCCAGTGCAAGAAGGCTGAATATCATGATGAGGTGATCAAAAAATGTACAGAGTACAACAACACCAGAAGTAGCAACAACCACGAACATCTACGGAGTACTCGGCAGCAAACGCAGATCAGCAACAGCGTCAGTCGAACCTGCGCGTCTACAGATAGTCACAGGGACAATGACCGAGGTGAGTGAGCTAGAAGGACTGTCGAATTAGTTTATCGCTCCTCAATGCTTTGTTTTTCTCCCCTCAAAACGAGGTATCGGCCGCATGAAGGAGCGCCTGTTTCTCTGATATCATCGATCACCAGGTACAAACCAGACGAACAGTCGATTGGCGCAGGCCGGCCAGTATACACAACATTGCGAGCTGAGGTCTGCATGAAATCCAGGGGCCTGGCCCTGCAGAAAGGAGCCAGTCGAAGGATTATACGAAACAGACGGAGTGTTGGGGACAGTCGCCTCTCAGCCACAAAAGCAGCCCTATAACGAGATACATGTTATACACGAAATGAATGCACGTAATTCGTGCTATCAGCATTGGTTCAGGGACGAGAGAATCTCTCCTGCTTTGGCTCCCACTAGTTGCTGTGATCTGCCTGGCTTGTGTTATACGACGCTCCAACGGTGGCAAAGGAAGCAGGCAGAGAAAGGCGAAGGTACTTCGTCTACGCTTATGCACCATGTGGGAACCTCCATGAAGGACAAGAATAGTTAACTTCCTGCTTGCTTCTTCGAACAGGGATGGGAGCTGTCAGTGGGCGAATCACGCAGCAAACCTGTGCCTTTTCGATGTGACTGGATGTGCCTCTGGCCAGTGAGCCGCGCCGTCTCTCGGTATCAACCTGCAGAGTCTTCCTCGCATTATCTACTTCCAGCTCTTTGCTCCGTTCCAGGGCTGGCTCTAGAATATGCATCACGTCCTTCTTCCCAGTCGCACGGGCAGGTACTGAACCATACAGATACATGGGCGTCAGTGCTATTTGATATCGAACGAGAGATTCTCCACCAGCACATGAGGGGGACGTCTCTCTCTCTCTCTCTCTCACTCCACAGTCTCTTCTTCGCCATGGCTCGCTCGGCATTGGACGTGACAGGAGTTAGCGCCCACAGTGACTCCGTGCATGGAGCAAATCACCACTCGCGGGTCGGCCAAGGGGTTGAGGAGGCCTTTTCTTTGAAAATCTCTATGCCGCGATGGAGATGGCTCGGCGCTTCCGCAGGTCCCCATGCTGCTAATCAGCGAGTCAAGATCTTTGGAAGCTCGTTAAGTACTTCGACTATTTATTTTTTTTTACTCCGTACTGGGTCAGTTACTCTCATCTACGGCACGGGAACGGTACCCACGGATGGCCCTGGAAGTCTCCATGAAATGGACCGTGGAACGGATCCCTCAGATCAAAAGGCTATCCTGTCAACTTGGGCCTTTCACCCCGTATCACAGACCGGGGATGCTGTGACGGTCTCTGCATCGATATGTCATCTCTCAAGGGGCATCGACGGATTTTTGCACCAAATAGTTATCTATAGCAATTAATATTATCAGACTGGAGCAGTACGATCTGACAGCCAGCCTAGCAGAATCGGCATTGTTGAACAAGTTTTACGATTCGGCCCGGCAACTGAACTTGAAGCTAGCATCAGGCCAGCCAGCCTGAATATACTTCTCGAGGACGGGAATAGCACCATCGTCGACACAGCAATGCTACATTCTGAGTGGTCTCCTACGAGTGGAGATATCATGCATGACCTGGGTCTCGATACTTATCCATGCGAATCCTGTCTCCTCTCGCCTGCAAGCGCCCATTCGACTCCATCCGCAGCGTCGTCTCTCGTCTCTCCATCGTCAGCCTGTTACCTGCCTCCATCGCCGTCTAACTGGAGAGAAGGGAAACGTGCGATCGTCAGCGAGTCGGGGGGCTTTGCTTATCATCCCTTTCCCTATCACCCTGGCCCCCTGGACATCTTCTCGGGACTTTTTCTTCTTCTTTCTTCGTCGCCTTAAAATGCGCCGCTGTCCGCGATGTCCATGTCCATGTCGACTTGCCTTGCTTATCTCTCTCTCTTCCCTCCTTCCCCTGGCAAACTCCTTGCAGGCTTTGACATTTTTCTTCCCTTACTACGAAGAGTCATAACCTTTACAGACAAGAGGAAGACAGGCCCTTATCCCGCCTTGTCGACGTGGCCGCAACGGCCGTTTAGCCACAGCTGCCGTCGCTGTGCGCGCTAAGCGGCCCCGCCGACTTTGTGTGGCGGAGTGGATGCAAGCAAGCAAGCAGAGCCTTACTTGACACTTACTACAGCTAGTTATACATCGACCTGGCCGTACATTTCCCGTCACTCTCTCGAGTCTGACAGCGGACCTTGTCCAGAACTGTGCCATCGCGTTTAGCTTTTCTTTTCTTTTCCTTGCATGGCTATCATTTGTGCCCGAGAAAAAAGCTGTCCGATGATTAATATTCTTCCAAGGTTCTGTCGCTTCACTTTCTGTGTTTTTTACTTCTCAAACTATCTGTATATTTAATCCAGCTTACCCCGGCTTCTGGTTCAACTATTTTGCCTCTATTCCCCGAGCTTCGAGCTGTGTTGATACCACCTGGCTTGCTAATCGGTCAGGCTACCGGTCTTGCTCTACTATTTGGAATACAGTTGCTTGCCAGCCAACTATTTCCTCGTACACCAATGTGAGTACGCCTTCATGGTGGCGACCTCTGCTCATGATACATTTTCATTCCCGTGTCCCCCACTAACTCAAGAGACAGACACCAACCTTTAGCCGTCACTAAATGTGGCATACGATATGGTTATAAGTCGTTCTGAGCCGGCTATTGATTTGGAAAGCAGGTTTCAAGGCCTGCCCATGGTATCGGAGACACCCACATCATGGTATCACGAGTAGCCGTACAGACAGTCACCCAGACTCAGACACATCCACATATTAGAGGATCAACAATTGGGATAATGATGTCTTCTTCAAGGATACCCATACCGCCAGCTGGGGGTTCATCTGGACAGGGAAGACCCAAGCAGAGCACCCCCAAGCCTTCATCAATTCCCCGAAGCAGGCGGGATTCATCGGCATCAGAGTCAGAAGAGTATAGTAGGCTGAGGATGGTGAGGTCGAATTCCTCAAAGAAATCATCCAGGGAAAACATCACATCTACTGGGACGTCAAAGCAGCCTTCATACTCCTTCATGCCGACATCAAGGTACTATGCTGCACCTCCAAGCAATGCGCCTCCTCCTAACATACCAGCCGATACACAGCAACAAACAACATCATCCATATCTTCCTGGAAATTTAGTCGACCATCATTACCTGAATCACGACCACGAAATGTTCTCCGGAGAAAGGCACCGTCAATAGAGCAGTATGCGGAGAGGAACAGAGCAAGGTTACAAACCTCGACATCCGAGAAGATTGAGATGGACCTGCCCCATATTGAAATACAAAATAAGGTTGAACCGGATTTTAGGGAAACAGCGCCAACCAGACCATCACCACAACCAGTTGAAAATGCCCCTGTTCGACCACAGTATTCCACTCCAACCCCTTCCTCTCAAGCACCTCCAACAGAGGCCACATCCTCGACATCAGGGTCACAGTCTCACATCCCAAAGGAGTTCGTCGGCCTATCGACGTCGATAAATACTTCGAATCTGCCCCCTCCAACCCCTAACTTTACAGGCGGAAGCAGCCCTTCAACCAGGTACACTGACTCCCCTGGTATGTGGAGTAGAGGATCAACTCCAACGTCACTTTCATCCTACTCTCCCGGTATAGTACATCCAATCCACGGCTCACGGCTTAAGCAACCCAGCCCAACAATCTTTAGGAATCAAAGGTCCCGTCCAAACCTGACGGCTCTGTCGTCATTTGATGAAACTAAGAGAACGTGTACTCCCACAACCCGACTCCCTCGACGATCCCAGACCGAGCCTATTGCTCAACCTCCTGGCCTTGGAGTGAGGGACACCAGGCACCAAGCGGAATGGCAATCGGCAGGTGTCCTCCCTGGCGATATAAAACCCAGTCCTGAGAACAGAAAGGAGGACGTTTCTACTCCAAAGCTCGAAGAACCTCCTTTGCTTTTAGATTTGGGAGCAACTACCGGCCTTTCTCCAAGCAGGCCCAGCCGCAAGGGAACAGAGCCGCTGAAACTGGAATCATCTCCCGTGATTTGGAGTAACCTTGCCTCTTCGAGGCTTCCCACCCACAAACGCAGAGGATCAGCAAGCTCTAATACCCGCTCTAAATCACCAGCTATACCTTCAGCGATTGTAAATGCATCTACGGAGTCACTTCAGTCTAGGAGTTCATCAAAAATATCTGCCTTTTCTCCATCAGTCGGCTTAGCTGATTCCAATACCCGGCCACAGCTACGATCTATAACTCCCAAAGGAAATCACCTCAGGAAAACATCACTCTCAGGGAAAGAGCCAAAAGTGTCTAATAATACGACGGAGGTTAAGGATCCAAAACAACAGCAACCCCCTACCACCGGTGGTCCAAGGCGACTTGGCTTTTTCCCAAAAAAATCAAAGACGGTTCCAGAAATTACTCAATCTGCACTTAGTGAAAGCCGGTCACGCAGAGGACCTTCCGCAGGGACTGGGCACGAAGGTTATGGCAAATACGCTCAACGAGGAAGAAGAACCAGCGTCGGAAGCACCACATCCAGAGCAAGATCAATCAGCGCTAGTAGATCAGTTGGGAACAACAGTGTCAGTAGCAGCCATATGGGACACGAAATTGATGATTTCCTTCTCGATCGCTTGGAGCCAGTCATCATTAATGGCGGTGGGCTGGATGGCTCAGCTTTGACTCGTACACAGAGCGGACAGAGCGAGAACCATCTAAGTGTTATTTCCACTACTGAATCGAAAGCTCCTCCATCTACACTGGTTCAGAGTCCGGAGCCAATAAGCTCCCCTCTGCAATCCTCCCTTCTAGATCCCGGGACAACTCTACATCCGGAAGTGAAACATCGTCGTTCATTCCGGAATTCGAAGCTATTTGGGGGTCAGAAAACAACAAGTAACTATCTGTCAGTGTCTCAACTTCGACCATCGGCATCCAGGCGGCCGTCTGATGCCAGCATCGATAGCCGTGCTGAATTGGGTTATCATGATACCCCTAATTCATCCTCGCCGCCTGATTCTAAGCCAAATAAGGAACCGAAGAAGAAGAAGTCTGAGAAGTCAGGACGATGGAACTTCTTCCAGCGCAGCAACCCGAACCTTCGTGAGAAAAAGGCAAAGGATGAGCTGGAGCTAACTCCAGGGATGCCCGCTGCTATAACTCAGGCTCCAGTTTCTAGAGCCGTTGCTCATTATGCCATCCTTGATAATGAACAGATTGACTCTGATTCTTTGGAGGATATACTAGCGCGGGTGGAAGAATCACCACCAACTGAGGAAGAAATCGAAGCGACGACTGGACTCGGATTGAGGACGAAGCATGGCCATTCTGTCTTATTGCCGGAGCCACCAGCAGGGCTACTTAACAGTGTCTCTGAGAGACGCCCATCATCGCCCAAAGTGTTTTTTAATAAGGAAGTGTTGCCTACTATCTCACCACCAAAGAGCGATCGACCCAGCCGCTTGGCTTCCGTTGGTAGAATACCTCCAGTCATTCCGAGTGCCAGGAATCAACATAAACCGTCTCTTCAATCATTTTCACGCCCATTTAGTGTTGGGCAGGGCCCTTCCCTGACAGTGACGGCCGCAGCTGTGGCATCTAATCATCCACCTTTGGTTGAAGCCATACCGAATCGATTTGCCTTGTACCCACCCTCGCAAGAGGAGTTCCTTACTTTTAGTCCAAGAAAGGGCTCTGAGGTTTCTGTATCCTCTGAGAGTGCAGATGGCAGAAGTCTGGCAGCCGTCACTGCTGTTCTCCCATTTCCGGGGTCAAAACTGACAGACGACGAAATATGGCAAGAATATGACGATTTTCTAGACAAAGTGACATCGCCGCAAACCCCTGAGGATGGCCTTCTGCATACACCCCGATCTTTCAACTTGGCTACTAGGGCCTCCAAAGCTTTACAGGAGGGGTTGAGTGGAATGAATGACACTTCTCCCCCAATTTCGCCTTTACAGTGTCCGGAAATCATAACACCCCAAATACCAGACCACAACTCGATTCATCTAAGCCGTTCTATGATTCTCTCCGCCCTACATTCATCCATCACACCCTCGGAGCCAATCTCTCTCGGTGATCTCATTTCAACGTATGCTGGGAGCAAAAGTTCCTCCACTGACTTCACTGACGTCAATAACCCTTATGCTTCCCTGGGAGAGGAGCTGCAGAATGACACCAATGCAGCAAAGCATGCTCCTAAAGAAAACTCTCCCCCAACAACAGAAAAGGACCAGATTCAGGTAGATCCTATGGCTCAAGCAAATGTCCGTTCGGGCTCATTGATGACAAGCCGCTGGCTTTCCTTCGGCCGTGTTCTATTCAGCCCAGCCAAAAACCACATGCAACCTCAAGATCAAGCCCGCATCCTGGTTATTGATGGGTTAGGCAACGATGACTGGTCATTTTACTGCGCCTTGACTTATCCTTCCGCAGTGGTATACAACCTTACTCCAAATGTGCCTCCTCAGTCCACATCCAGCAACCCAGCAGCATGGGATCCACCATCAAATCATCGTACTATCCATCGATCTGGTATCAAAACTCCGTTCCCATTTCCGAAGGGATTTTTCACTGTTGCCGTCATGCGCTTCCCGGCTGCTTGCTCTGAAGCGGCGTATGATACCGTTGTCTCCGAATGTTATCGTGTCCTACGCCCTGGCGGATACCTAGAGCTCAGCGTCATGGACCTGGATATGGTTAATATGGGAACTCACACTCGAAAAGCAGTTCGAATGTTAAAAGAACGGATATACACGACCGATTCTAGCATATGCCTAAAGCCGGCCAGCGACAACATCCAGAGGCTGCTTGGAAAGCGTGGATTCGCCAATTTAAATCGATGCATGGTTGTCGTCCCAGTTGCTGGTACCATTGTGCAATCATCGGATACATCGAGCTCAAACCAATCCGTTGCAAACTTGCCCCCACAATATAGCAGCTCTAATATCCCGCAACGGGCAGATAGCTTGTCCAACAAAAAACATACACGTGCCCCTTCTGACGATGTGAATATGTCCCTCGGTGATCTCCTATCGGACCCTTCACCCTCGCCCTCAAACGACGAATCGATTGCTAAGATGGTTGCAAAAGTCGCCCGATGGTGGCACACACGGTGCTACGAACTAGCTGTTTTCAATGACCAGAATAAGGACATCTGGACCGACAAGATGCTTCTTCGAGAATGCAGACGGCGAGGCACTGGGTTCAGACTCCTGATTGCATATGCCCAGAAACCCAGTGAAGTCACCAGAAGAACTGCGAGCGTCTAATTATTTTATATCCCCCTCATGACAAGTTTCCGTTTTACCTCCTTAACGTCGATACCCGGTACTCTCCAATCCCGCAACTTATTTGTGAGTTGTTTATCTGTTTTCCAATGAATCTAACGACATTTACGACCCATATACCATAACGGCATTTATGCTCCACATTATTATTTATTCTCGTTTCTCTCATATCCCTGCATATTTCATGAACATCAGCGCATCATGATAAACTTAATGGGCAACCTCATCTATATCTGTTTTATTTTATTTTATTTTTTTATTTTGAGGTTTAGCAATCTCACGGCCGTTTTATGATGTCTGGCCGCCATTTCTTGTTTATGCCATATTAGCGATTTGTTTCTTTCTTTATATACCAAGGGGTTTTGTGGCATATATATCTCCTATTCTTTGCAGGTTATTAGCGGCTGGCCGGAACTAGTACCTAGGTATCTACTTAATATACTGATGCCCTGCAAGAGGGACAGCGTTGTTTAAATTTCTATGTTAGCTCTGTACATTTTAATTACGGTGTCTATACTAAACCCATAAAACGCTCTTGGATGAGATTTCCAGTGCACCCACAAAGTTGATGTTATATTAATGGGGATATTGCACCGTAACTACCTTGGATAGGGGATAATAACCAGTGATATCTTCTTACGCTGATATATTGTTACACTCGTCTAAGCTCGACACCTGGCCCCTCCCTTCTTTCTCGAGCAGTGTAGTAAAAAAGCAAAAACATAATCATTCAATCATTTTCGATCAGTATTGTCCTTAGCCATAAACCCAGTATTGCGCAGTATAACCAACTTGAAAGTCAGAGACCTTTCCGTCACATGTTGCAGGGCTAGTTCCTTCTTGTGTTTCAACTCGAAAAACAACCTACACGGATTACGCCAATGTCAGCCACAACCACAGGCCCTTAGTTCGCAGTGGAGTATATACACGTCCGCTTTACACAAAAAGGAAGGAAGGGACATACCTCCATACCCGATCCCTCCACTTTATTCAATCTTAACCAGGAGACATCGGAGTTACTGGGAGCTGGGACGTTTGCTACCACAGATACGTAGGCTTTGTCTGAGCCGCCACGAGTCGTCAGGTCAAAAAAGGGCCTCCCTCCGGTAAAGTAATGCTGGCCGAGCTTAGGTAATTTCAAAAAGTCTTCCAATACCCATTTTGCCGATGCGTTCGAAGTGTGTAAAGAGATATAACTGAGAATGTCCATAATTCGAAAGTTCATATTAACAAGGCATGAGCCATCGTAAAGGGTCGCAACAGCACCAATGTGTACGGGTTTGGTAACGCCGCCAGCGCAGGTGTAGTTTTGGGTGCCAACGCCGAATGTAACATATTTAAGTTGAAGACTTGCTTCAGGGCCCGGTAATTCTGGTGGGTGGCCTATCTTTGGAAGCTGCTTGGTTGAGATGTCACAGCCTGGTCTTTGCCGTAGCGGGTTGAGTTCATTAAACACAAGCGGTAAATCGGCTGGCTGTGGTTTATTGCGTATAGCCGCACCTTCAGTCACAAGAGCGGCGGCCAGGAGAGGCAAAAGGAGGCGGAGGATATGCATATTGTAAAGACAAATATTCAGCTACTCGGGCAATTGAAACTGGAAAGGAACAAATAGGTAGGTAAGCTGTAAAACGAAAAATATGGATGCAGAGAGAGGGGAAGAATAATGTTAAATAGTAAATTTCTCATATAAGAATCTTTGGTGGATACAGACTGCTTGCGAGTGAAAGTAACAGCTTAAGCCCCAACGCCATCAGTCAAACTCGTTCCGTTTTTAGTCACAAAAAAATAAGCTTCCCATGTGCCTGAAGTCTGAAGGAATGCAATAGTAACCGGCTGGGTACGTAAGTGGGACCATTCAAGGGTATCGATTTGATGACTTCTGCCTAAATAGGATGTATTGAATCCTATTTAGAAAGTTGCCCAAGGATCTGGAGGCCAAAGAGTACCGGGAACTTCCATACTTAGTATAGGAGGAGCGCTAGCAGGCGGAGATAATCCTTTTTTAGCTGGGGAATGCATGGTTATATCGTGTATATTTTTGGGGGCGAGAACTTCCTCAATATTAAGTTCTACGCCTAAGTAAAAAAAAAAGGATTGTTAGGCCTGTTTCCATCTATAGATGATGATATGTGATATCTATCAGCAGAGTCGCCGGTCCAAAGCGTTTTACCATAAGTTCCATCAGCAGCAAAAAGGAGTACCTCTAGAAACGCACATGGACATAAATATGGCAGTGCAGCTAAGGCCGGTACAATGAATGTTTTCGAGCTATGCAACCCATGGATCGGTATCAAAGACTTTGCAATTCCGCGGAGAGGCCACCTCTAGGTATCTCGTATACAAAAAGTGGCCAAGTCAAACGAAATCTCGCTTGATATAGATTGAGCAGCCTTGTCCCATGGTCTGGAACAAGCTCTGTATATCTATCTAGTGGATATAAACATCAACCACGATTGGAAAGTTAGCGGGATGTTGGGGGCCTTTAGTCGGCATTACGGCAGAGGTTCTCGAAATGCGAGTTTTTATGCCGTCAAATCTGCAAGTCATTCATTAAACGTGGATGTTTTGAGATTTGGGGGCCAAAAAGAAACGAGAAGCCAAGTCAGACTCAATGTTCTTATTTACGATTTCCTCTTTGGGTCAAGCGCCAAAACCCAATCACGTGCTAGACTGTTATTAATCCATTAGTCATCATGAATGATTACTCAGCCGCAACGACGCCCAAAAAGATTTCTCGAAGGCAGATTTGAGACGAGCAGCTTTGAAGAACGTTGCGATACCAGCAATAGCCCCATCACGCTCCTTTTCCCAGTGCCGTAAGACTGATTCGACAGGCTCATATCATCTATGGTCACCTCTAACCCCGTTTGATTGTCCTCATTCCCTCGGATCTGAGAAATAGTGCCCATCGCCACGATGGCTGACGGTAAGTCCTCGAGCATTCATGCACCTAAATTGTCGCGTACGTCGCCTAACATGGGTCTGATTTTAGCAGAGATCGAGTCCATTAAACGTCTCCAGGCGGAGCGGAATGGCAAAAAAGGTTCAAAAACCTTTGACATGTCAAACCAGCGCACTGACGTATCGACCAAGGCATCACTCACCGAAAGCTTCGATACCACCTTGTACGATCGCGCGGACGCCGATAAATATGCAGGTTACAACACGTCTATTGCGATAGATGGCGAAGATGAGGACATGGCTGATGATGATGGCCAGAATGGCCATCGACTGGTGGGACAATATACTGCGACGTCTGATCAGATGAAGGAGTTTGCTACTGGGAAAGGTGTTGAGGAAGAAGACATCCTTCTAGCACGCGAAAAAACATCTAGGATTTCAGAGAGGGAAACCGATTATCAGAAACGACGGTTTGATCGAGCCCTTTCCCCTACACGAGCAGACCCTTTTGCTGCAGACGGTCAAGCAAATGGAGAGGCGGAGGGTGCAAGCTATCGGGATATTATGGCGCTTCGGGAACTTGAGAAAGAGGAAGAACGTGTCAAGAAACTGATAAAGGATAAGCAGGCCGGTGAGGGTGCGAATGGGTCAGTTGAGCACGAGGCTACCCTGAAGCTAGAAGAAGCTAGCGGGGATAACGAGAATGACGAGTCTGCCGCTGCCCCAACGAGGAAGAGGAAAAAAAGATGGGATGTATCTTCAGAAGAAGTTGCCAAGCCCAGTGAGCCTGAGTCTACTGAGGTAAAACCTAAGCGGTCGAGGTGGGATCAGACTCCTGCGCCTGGAGGTCAGCCAGAGGCTCCTAAGCGTAGGTCCAGGTGGGATCAAGCGCCAACACTCACAGCTGCAACGCCGGTCGGGAATCAAGGACTTGCAACTCCTGTGCCTCAGGCTTCTGGGCCCGTTGCTGTTCCTACTTTCGGATCTGATATATCTGCCCGCAATGCGCCGTTATCGGATGAGGAACTAGATATGATGCTTCCTTCAGAGGGTTATAAGATTTTGGAGCCACCGCCAGGATACGCCCCAATTCGAACTCCGGCTCGTAAGCTTATGGCTACGCCTGCCCCAATGCAAAGCGCCAGCGGTATAGGAGGATTTATGATGCAAGAACCTGAAAGTGCCCGCTCGATGGGAAAGCAACTTCCAACTGAGATCCCAGGTGTTGGTGACCTGCAGTTCTTTAAGGCTGAAGATATGACATATTTCGGGAAGCTTGTGGATGGTGCAGACGAAAATTCAATGTCTGTTGAGGATCTAAAGGAAAGAAAAATAATGAGGCTATTGCTGAAAGTCAAGAATGGAACACCTCCAATGCGAAAAACAGCACTGCGTCAACTCACTGATAATGCAAGACAATTTGGAGCCGGGCCGCTCTTTAACCAAATTCTACCACTCCTCATGGAGAAATCGCTCGAGGACCAGGAGCGGCATTTGCTTGTGAAGGTCATTGACCGTATCCTTTACAAACTTGACGACCTTGTTCGACCCTACGTTCATAAGATTTTGGTCGTCATCGAACCGCTGCTCATCGACCAGGATTACTATGCTCGAGTGGAAGGTCGTGAGATTATTTCTAACCTAAGTAAGGCAGCTGGTCTTGCACATATGATCAGTACCATGCGTCCTGATATTGACCATGTTGACGAATATGTACGAAACACCACTGCCAGAGCCTTTGCTGTTGTCGCTTCTGCCCTGGGTATACCCGCTCTTCTGCCGTTCCTAAGAGCTGTTTGCCGAAGCAAGAAATCCTGGCAGGCTAGGCATACCGGTGTGAAAATTGTACAGCAAATCCCCATCCTTATGGGCTGTGCTATTCTGCCTCATCTCCAAGGCCTTGTTGACTGCATTGGAGACAATCTTAGTGATGAACAAGCTAAGGTAAGGACGGTAACTAGTTTGGCTATAGCCGCGCTTGCCGAAGCTGCCAATCCATATGGTATTGAAAGTTTCCAGGACATCCTAGGCCCGCTCTGGATGGGGGCAAGGAAGCAGCGAGGCAAAGGTCTAGCTGGGTTCCTTAAGGCTGTTGGCTATATTATCCCTCTAATGGATGAGGAGGGTGCAAATTACTTCACCAGCCAAATTATGGAAATTGTTCTCCGAGAGTTTTCGTCGCCAGATGAAGAGATGAAAAAGGTAGTCTTAAAAGTTGTTTCGCAATGTGCAGGCACAGATGGCGTTACGGCAGTTTACCTTAAGGAGCACGTACTCCAAGATTTCTTCAAAAGTTTCTGGGTTCGGCGTATGGCCCTAGATAAGAGAAACTATCGACAGGTTGTAGAGACAACAGTGGATCTAGGCCAGAAAGTTGGTGCTGGCGAAATTCTTGAAAGGATTGTTAATAACCTCAAGGACGAGAGTGAGGCATACCGTAAGATGACTATCGAAACGGTAGAGAAAGTTATTGCCTCCCTTGGTGCAGCAGACGTCGGAGAGAGACTCGAAGAAAGATTGATTGATGGTGTTTTGTTTGCATTCCAAGAACAGAGCGTCGAGGATATAGTGATCCTCAACGGGTTTGGGACTGTTGTCAATGCTCTTGGTTCTCGTTGTAAGCCATATTTGCCTCAGATTGTTAGTACAATTCTATGGCGGCTTAACAACAAGTCCGCTACCGTACGACAGCAGGCAGCAGATTTGATTTCGCGAATCGCAATGGTTATGAAACAGTGTGGTGAAGATGCCCTAATGGGAAAGCTGGGGACTTTCCTTTACGAATATCTCGGCGAAGAATACCCAGAGGTTCTCGGATCTATACTAGGCGCATTGCGTTCTATTGTCACGGTTGTTGGTATCAACCAAATGCAACCACCGATTCGCGACCTACTTCCACGACTCACACCAATCCTACGAAATCGTCATGAAAAAGTGCAGGAAAATACCATAGATCTCGTTGGTCGTATAGCTGATCGTGGTCCTGAATCCGTTAACGCCCGAGAATGGATGCGAATCTGCTTCGAACTGCTTGACATGTTGAAAGCTCATAAGAAGGGCATTCGACGAGCTGCTAACAATACTTTCGGTTTCATTGCCAAGGCTATTGGACCACAAGATGTCCTGGCGACTCTTCTTAACAACTTGCGTGTCCAAGAACGTCAGTCTCGTGTCTGTACTGCGGTTGCGATTGGTATTGTGGCTGAGACTTGTGCTCCCTTTACTGTTCTTCCCGCGCTTATGAACGAATATCGCGTCCCCGAGTTAAACGTGCAAAACGGCGTGCTCAAGGCCATGTCTTTCCTCTTTGAGTATATCGGTGAAATGGCGAAAGATTATGTTTACGCTGTGACACCGCTTCTTGAAGACGCTTTGATTGACCGAGACCAGGTCCATCGTCAAACTGCAGCAAGTGTAGTAAAACATATTGCTTTGGGCGTGGTTGGACTAGGATGCGAAGACGCAATGGTCCACCTTCTTAACCTTCTATACCCCAACCTATTCGAAACTAGTCCCCACGTTATTGACAGAATTATCGAAGCCATTGAAGCTATCCGAATGGCTGTTGGAACGGGCATCGTTATGAACTATGTCTGGGCCGGCCTGTTTCATCCAGCACGAAAAGTACGCACCCCTTACTGGAGGCTGTATAACGATGCATATGTTCAAGGCGCAGACTCAATGATTCCTTACTATCCTACAATCGAGGAGGATGGGCTAGGAAGATGTGAATTAGGCATTATCTTGTAATTGTGGGTAATCCAGGAGTTTGGATTTGGTTCTACGGCGCAAATTTCATTTTATAGTCGCGTTAGTGCATCCTGTGGTTTTATCATTTGATTTGAGCGCTGCCTTCAACTTGCCGATGTATTTATAAAATAATTACTAGCAATCAGTATATCAATATTACTTTCATCTAAGTCCTCAGTCTTCGAATTAAGTTCTCCCAATAACGCTGGTAGGAACTTGAAAGTCTGCACGCTTCGCTCAATTATATAATATCCTTCGAACGAGTGTCCAAATGTCCTACACCCCTGAAGATCAGTTATGACGCAGACTTTGCAAAACTTCCTTGCTCCATCCCCGCCTTGATCATCCTGTCTCCGTTCAAAATCGCTGTAGTACATATAACAATATTCCGGCGTCCAGACTCTTGCTGGGCAATAAATCGCAATGCAGCAATTTCAGTGAATGTTATGCCACCCAAGAAGAATACAAAAACTGTCTTAGCCCCTCCAGACCCCGTTAAAGTCTGACGAGCACGGGCAGCCTTTTCATCACCCTTCGGAACTATATTGAAACTTGGCCCTCGGGCACTCTTCACAATGTCTTCAAACCCTAGCCAGCCCGGAGTCGTTGATGCCGCACTGGCGGCGGCAGCAGCAGCTTGCGGTGAAGGGTTGCCTTTCACAAGTGCCTGGACATATGGCTTCTGTAACACACATTGAACAAGCCGAACACTTAAAGGAGCGTACCCGCTGTAAACGTAGGATATATCATTTGGGTTTTGCTCATCAACTTCATCCACAATCAGGCGGAGTGACTTGCGGAGCGTATTGTAATTCGTTTTCGTACCTGCAGCACTATTTGAACCACCCGGGAGTAAAATGCCGCTCGAGGAAACTTTGGGTTGTAAAAGCTCCATCTTTTCTAGGTTGCTTAAAGTCAGAAGGTGCTGGTAGCCATATCCCTGGAGAATTTGTTTCTTGAAGTTATCCAAGTCTCGGGGCCGAAGGCCGCCGTTGATACAGGATTCAATGCATAACAACCTTAAAACGGTGGTAATTGGAACATCACGAGCGATTAGTTCTTCAATAGTATCATATTGGGATGTGGAATCTGCACCCGCGGCGATGTTCTGCTGTACTCCCAGGTTCCGGCGGAATGTATCTGACCGAGTATGACGCATGATTTCTTCGGCAAGGTTGGTGTGAATCTTTAAGCTACTGTGCTCTGCTTGGTAGGCAGGTAGTTTGTTGACAAATTCACGTAGCTCCGAGGTCGATTTAGCTCCATGTCGGCTGTCGTAGTCACTCTCGAGCCTCCTTGCAACTTTGTTTAGTATTCCACCAACAATTGCGAAATTTGCATCACGAAGCTGAGAAAATAGTTGGTCTGATGAATCAATTTGAACCTTTCTCTTCAGGCTTTGCTTAGACGTGCTCGAAGCGTTGGACGAGGCTTGAGGGGCGGCAGATCCAATTATTGAGGTATCAACTTCCGTGTGGTTGTGGTTGATCCCGAAAAGTTCGTCCACAAGCCCCTCATAAGTCAGCTGCGTCATGAGAACCGTAGCAAAATCTACATCCCTATCGATTATGATTAGGCTCTCAATCGTGTTGCTCGCCATGAGCTTGCCTCCCGAGCCACCCAAACCGCCCTCAGCATCTAATTCTCTCCTCATTCGGAGCAATTGATCGACAACTTTTCGAGCATTGTCTCCTTTACCGACAATTCGAGGGAAATATCCATGTCGTAATTGGATTTGCATCAAGGCTTTGGCTGTGAGATGAATTGGTTGGGGGTTATGATCCTTATCAACTTGTAAGTAGAGGGCCTCTTTGGAAAAAGTATATACGTAGAGCATACCAGGTATAAATCACTGAATGCATCTGGCAGCTCAAGAGAAAGAACGTCATTTTCAAGGGGGAGAAAATACAAAGGAAAGTCTGCAATATTGACGTCTCCTATAATGCCTTCTTCTTCCAATATTTGATTAGACACCAGAGTGCGTCTGGGTACCCAAAAGACAGAGAACTCATGTTCAATGTTGGACTCATTTTTCTGCAGCTTTTTTATTTGATCTACGCAGATAGATGAATATGTTAGTTGAAAAGACGTGGCATTCAATCAGTTATCAATTAAGGGAAGAAAGAATGCAATGAAGTGCGCTGTACAAATATCAATCTAGGGAGCATAAATAACCATGTAGAGTATAGATATTTTCTACCTGGCCTCTGTTCTCACCCATGAAAAGGAGATTTAGATATAGTAGGATAATATAAAATTGCAAGTACGTACCAGCAGCAGATTGTACATGGCTTGGCTTCTCTGCATGGATCAGGAATATAACATTCCGTTGAGAGGAATCAACATTCGCATTCTCAAGTAAGAATACTCGATCTACCCCATATTCCTGGAGTACGGAAAACTTCACAAAGAGGCCCACAGGCCCGGCCAGGTCTTTGCTGACCACAAGATTCTTCTTCCCGCGAACCTAACAGTATATTGTCAGGCATAAAAGGTTCAGTCACGTCAAAGAGCCTGTGAACTCACCCCTTCTAGGAGGCCAAGGAGGTCTCTCCTAGCTTTCTCCTTGAGATATTCTGCCTCGCTCCCAGGATGAGGGGCCATTTTCAGGACCTAGTTGATTGAAACAGTGACGGAAGCCCGGAATAGGTGCCCCTTGACAACGGCAAATTCATTGCCCCAGCATGCGTACGTACTCTGTTTGTCCGTCGTGAAGTGGCTTATGGGGTGAATGATGCCTGGGAAGACGTTGTAGTCGTTAGCTGGTTGCTCTTTCGGGTTTAGCTCATGGAGAACGCCAACTCCGCCACAGATCAGTCACGTGAAGAGCCGCAGTCGGCCTAACGCTGATGCTTTTTAAGGCAGCCAGACTCAGACACTTGAGACACGGACAACGTCAGCTTAACGGCAGCATTTAGGGGCTTCACTCTGCCCTTTACGACTTGATATCTTACCCCGAGATTACTCGAGGAGCCCATTTCAAGTGATTGTTGAAATTTCCTTACACCGACATTCGGCCTGCCCATAGACATCGACTGTTGCCTTCGATCCCTACTTACTTACCGCTACACTCCCCGCGCCCCCTTTTACAGCCAGCTTCAGCCGCCATGAAGAAGTTTGGTTTCGGCAAACGAAACGACGATGGCGGGGATGACAGTAACAGATCAGCTCTTTTTGGCTCACGGTCAAAGAACAAGAGCCCTGCACCATCAAATAACCCATACGCTCAACCACCACCTTCGACTGACCCTTACTCTGGATCGCGGCCTCAGGGGTATGGCGGGATGAGCCAGCCAGGGAACCACCAATCTAGCCCGGCATACGGCGGACCTCCATCCAACAACGGATATGCACCAGCAAGACAAGGAAACCAAGGTAGCTATGGACAGGATAGATACGGCGGGGCTCCTTCAGCGAACACTGGTGGTTACGGTGGCCTAGGGAGAGTTGACCCGAATGACCCAGGCATGAAGGACGGAAACAGGGATGCTCTTTTTGGAAACGCAGCAAGTCGATACCAAGAGCGACAGCCGAGCAGTGCACCTCCTCCATATGCTGAACAGCCGGCCGGTGGCCCGAGTGGCCCTACGTATGGCAAATACCAAGACCGGCAGCTTACCGCGGAGGAAGAGGAGGAGGAAGACGTCCAGGCCATAAAGCAAGACATCCGCTTTATGAAACAGCAGGACGTGTCGTCAACCCGGAACGCACTGAGATTGGCCGCAGAAGCTGAAGAAAGCGGGAGAGCGACCCTTGCTCGCCTTGGTGCTCAGGGTGAACGAATCCATAACACGGAGAAGAATCTCGACCTGGCTGCGAACCAGAACCGAATTGCGGAGGAGAAGGCCAGGGAGCTGAAGAAGGTGAACGGAAGTATGTTTGCCATGCATATTTCGAACCCCTTCACTAGCGAACAACGTCGTCGTGCTCGAGACCAGGCCATCATTGATCGCCATCAGGAAGAACGGCTGCAACGTGAGGAGACTCGGCTTGCTGCTTTCCGCACGGAACAGAGAATGGACCAGACCTTCAAGGAAATCTCCAAGAAGGGTGAAACCGGGCCGAAAAAGACCAACCTTGCCGAGCGTTCAAAATACCAGTTTGAACAGGATAGCGAGGACGATGAGATGGAGAATGAAATCGAATCGAACTTGGATGCTCTGCATGGTGCTGCCACCCGATTGAATGCACTTGCTAAGGCTACCGGAAGGGAGATCGACGAGCAAGACCCACACATCAAGCGTATTATTGGAAAGGTATCTATTTCACCGCGCTTCTATCCTTATCTCTTCCAGTAACATGGATTCGGAATTAGCTAACGTCTTTCTTTCCATAGAGCGACTTTGTGGACGATCAAATCCACATGAACAGATCACGGCTGGACCGTATTCGCTAGAAAGGTTTAGACGCTGTTGCCGTTTACACCACCACCTTTGCATGCATGCTACTTTAGCCAGCATTTTGCACATAAAGCACCATTTAAAGAGCAATAGCAACCTATGCCCGGAATCACGCGGGCATCTTCCGGCTTCTATCATTCGCTTTCCCTCTTCGCCAGATATAGTTCGCTGTTTAATTAGTATCCCTTATGCCGTGTCATTTTGTTTATACGTCACCTCATTTATTGAAATGGGCTTGACTTGAGAGTTGGTCGAATAGGTTCAGCGCATGACCATTTAGTTACATGAAGTAGAACAATCCAATATGAAAAGGATGTTTCAATCATGGTTGACTTGTAAGGGTAATTTAGCACGCCAGTAATTCAGTATAAGTACAGATATACCGGCAATTAAGCACTGGTATAACGGTATACAGGTCATCAAGAGAACGCAGCACTGGTACCGAGGCATCTGTGGCAGCATTCCCAAGCATAAAATGTTCATGTGAGCAGGGCCTAGATATCCCACTAATCAAGCGGTAAGCCGATAAGGAAGCATCCTATACGGGAACCGATATCCGTTAGGTAATGCTTAGATAGTAGTGGAAACGGTTGATAAGGGCCAGGAGCATAGCCATGCACAAGTGTTGACGACACACATTCTTGCATTCGTCAACCTTTCAACTAAAATGTCTAATTAGTAGTTCAGGAGCTACTTACTTTCCAAGCTTTGTAAAAAAGAGAAGCTCTGCCTGCGCAAAGCTTCTCCTGGCCTTGTCTCGCGTTTCCGATATCGGTTGCAGTGTGATCTCCCTCAATCATGATCAAGCACGGTCGATGGGGATGCCGTCAACGGGGCGGCAGCAAATGAGCGATCGAATGATCAAGGGTATCATTGAAACGACAGCTAAGAGCAGCTCTATATGGCTGTGGGCATGTGCACCGGACCTGTACCTGTAACCAAAGCCCGCAACGAGGCCCTCGAAGCCCCTTAAATTACCCGCCAGGTCTCAAGTGGCCCAAAAGGGGAAAGTCGATGCCGCTTTTCTGGTCTCGGCTTTTTGGTTTGGCGCGTTTTGCCGACTCCCGACCGCAGGGATGACTAAGCAGAGTGTTCACCCATCGACGCTTGTTCTTCTGCGATGGACAGCCCGAATCGAAACGCCTTAGGATGTCGATTTTTCTTTTTTCTGGTATTTTGACGAGTTTCGCGGGTTGGTTATCTCGTTTATCTGTCGGTGTGCCTTGTTGTTGGGACGGCATTCGCGTTGGCTTTTTTTTGACGTTGCGGCCCGTCAGCCGTCCTGGAGGGAACGTTTCTTTGCAGGCGAACCCTGGCGTAGCAAAGCGTAATGGAATAATACATATCTCCCTCCCCACTTTGCAACTTTGACAGAGAGGGGAGAGAGAGAGAGAGCAAAAGACGAGAGACAGGTCTCGTCTGGGATTGCTATGTCCATGGCACTTGGCCTCTCGCCTTTTCGAACGTGTAATTGATGCCTGGTGTAGGTTCAGCGGAACGAGACAAGGTCAATGAAACATTGTCTAGAGACGTAATAACTAGCTATGACAATAATATTAGTGATGATATCAACAAGGTCAACGGCCTGAGGAAAGAAAAGGCAATATGATGTCGGTGAGCTGGCCGCTGGCGAGACGCAAGACTCGACCGAGTGCCTGAGGGTATTTTATGGCGCGGCTGGCATATAATAACTAATTGCATGGGAGGTTTCGCTTGGCAGGGTGGCATACGCAGCCTGATGAGGATCTCTAAGAGGTCAGTCAGCAGGTCAGTGACGACGAAGCATGGGGAGCGAGGTATCAGGAAGGGAGGACCTACCATTGATCGTACCCCGTGTTTATAGTAGCGACAAGAGCGAAGAGAGATAGAGAGACATTAAAGGAGGCAGAATTTTGCGTAACGTGGTTGTTCATTAAATGCTAGATAGCCGAATCCAATAAGATACTCAAGGCATCTTAACTGTACGGAGCGATACTGATAGACATGGGAGAAAATATGCATATGACGCTCCGTTCTAGCGCAGGCCAAACAAGTGTAGGGTAGAAGAGAAGATAAACTCGACGAAGGGCAGGGTATAATGAATTCATCGTAGAAGTATCAGAGAGTTAGGGGAAAATCCGAATATCCCAGGGTTGACAAAAAATTTGAAAAAGCAAAAATGAAAATGAAAAAGACCTGAAAGTAGGAAAAGACAGGATGAAATCGTAAAGATGAAAAAGAGTAACTCCTTCTATCACAGATCACGAATGGAGAGGAAAGAGAAAAAAGGAAAAGGAAAAGCGACGGAAACAAACAATAGCGTTCACAACTCGGAGTGCTAATGTATGATAAAAGCAGCCTGAATAAATACCCTCCCTCCTGCCGGTTCGAGGATCGCGCCCCTATTGCCCCGTATGTATAATTCAGTGCACCGCCGTGAGGTAGATGAGGGATGAAAAGAAGGACATGAAAAGAAGAACGAAAATGTGAGGACGACATAGAAAGAAAACAAGATGCTCCTGTCGAATGGGTATCAGATAAGAGTTGTTGTTCCCAAGGGGCCAAAGGCGAGGAACTTGTAAAAAAAAAAAGGAGGAACGGAAAAGATGGGCAACGAAGCTGGAACCTAGTATACAAGGTATCGGAAGGATCTCGATGGTGTTGAAGTTCAGCCAAGAATAGAGGATGAATAGAGTAAGAGGATAAAGGCGTGATCGTAGGGTTAAGGTAAAAAAAGTATGCCGTGGGTATATTGATCGAGCGTTGTCGTGAAACAGGGATGTAG